ATATCATATTCTTTGATAGGATTGCCGAAGAAGCAAAATCATATTTATTGTGATATTCGACTACATTACTTATTCTTCGTTCATAATCTTAAACGAAATAGGGGGAATACGCCTCATATAAGTCGAGACCATACTTATGAACGAAAAATGAGTAATGTAATCGATTGTCATAGCAAATATAAGATGTATTTACCCTAGTTCGTTTATGGTGATGAAGGACTGGTAGTAGAATTTCCGTACAATGATATGAGTGGGAGTACTTTAGGTCTCGAAGCTCTACTTATATACGAAAAATAGCAAATATAACTTAGCTTTATCGACAATCCTCCCGAAGAATATAGGGAAAAATGCCTGGCTTTCTTTGAAATTCATATCTGCCCTGTGACCCAAAAGCACTCGTGTCGATGTGGCGTAGTGGTTAACGTGTCGAGATTACACGCTGTACTCTCATGGAGTATTGATAAGACCTAGGCGAGGTAGAGACTGCAGTTCACTCAAGATGAGAACACCTTTTGGGAGAGCAAGGCTATGTAAAGTCCAATAGAAACGTCAGCCTTATTTATATCATTTTGGGAAAATTCAACTCTTAGTCCTTCATCACTTAAAAAGAATTAGGGTGAATACATCTCAAATAGATGAAGAAACATTTTTTATGGTAGCTAGTAGCTTATTGCAAACGAATATACCGAAAGTTATAGATTAACAAATAATAAGGGATACATGCACGTTTCTATTAAATAGAAAAGATATCGAGAAGTGAGTAAACTTGAAAGAGTGGAAGTAAAATAGCATGAAGTGGAGATTATATACACTAGTCTCAAGTCGGATAAAAATAAAAAAAGGTTTATAATTTAATCCGCATTTAAAAAAATGACAATTGTAATGTTATGAAATAAATTACTAATAAATTAAGGTAATCCTTATTTTTGTTCTAGTGATTAAAATATAACAGATCACTTTGGGAGTCGATTAAGGCATATTTATGCTTAGAAATGCTTATAGAAAAGAGTTATACAGATTGGTTAAGTTGTAGCAAGCGTAAAAGCCTCAAATGGGTTGAAAAGCTGGCAATAAGTCAAGGAAATGATCACAAAACGGTCAAATATTCCAGAGGCTCTTTGCCCCAGTTTTATGGAAACGCAGATAGCTCTCTCAGTAAATATAGAGGACCTGAATAAAGTTCCCTCTCCTTGGCCTGCAAAATAATTTTCTCGAGTTAATTTTAAAATGATTTCCCTGTTCTGAAAAGTTTTCTACTGCAGAACAACTAAAAAGGCCAATCATGTAGGGAACTGGTCGATAGAGCAAAGTAAATATGTAGGCTAAGATATTGATAAGAACGCTACTAAAATGGCCCTTTATTTTGGCTCCAGGGAAACCATTCACAAAATAAAAGATAATATGGCATATGCCATGCAACAATATATAACTTGCTCGAGTAACAGTGAGCGGGATACATACCCAAGTTTCTCTGATAACCAGGCGCTTCTCCAGTTCATTTTGATTCTCATGCTCTAGGAGGCATGTAGCTGGTCTTTTGCTTGCATCCAGTAGGGCCCGCGATAGCCGAGAAAGGGCATCAGAAGAAGTGACGAGAGGTTGCAGTTCTGCATTCTCTCGCTGACCAAAGGAGTTCGCGTTGTTGATTGAATGAGGTCTAATTAACTTCCCAGTTACATGCCGACTTACGAGACAAAGAAAGGCCCAATGTGGTATGGGTAAGCCCAACTCAAAAGGCATGCCTCCACCGGTATCATAACTAGGATTCAGCAATGGCGAGGATTGGACACATGGATTGGCATTGCCAGATTCAATCCAGTTCGGTTGGTTGCGAGGTCCAGATCCAGCTCCTTCTTCCACGAGGCTGCAAGCATGAGACCAAGCAAAAGGTTGGAAGTCGAGGGCGGTTTGGACAAGAGCCTCGATAGCTGAGCTGTCTAAGCTGGCCCCCTAAAAGGTCGCCATCCAGGAACACAAGAATTAGGGTCAGAGGAGTAGGTCGAATAAAGCAAATAATATAGGTTTAGGAAGCAAGCAATCTTGAGGAAAGTTAAGGCATTTAAATGTGAATCTTCCACTGGTGAACAGCAAATCATTTTCGCGCGTCAGACCAGGATTGTTACCTTTTTGGTAATTTGATCGCTTTGTGAGGGTTTTATTACATCTATTTTTCATTTATAAGTAGGGTTTCGAGACTACCAGATGTGTTAAACCTATTTCGTTTAGGTAATGAAGGATTGGTAGTTGAATTTTCTCACAATAAATGAGCATGCCTTACATTTTCATTAAATTTTACATAGCTTTGCTGCCCAAAAGAGTAGACAGCATTTTCGATATCACCTAGGTCTCTTTAGCACCCAAATTAGAACTCAAACCATGACAGTGTAACGTATAATCTCGACACGTTATCTACTAAATTACATTGCTATGAGTGCCTTTGGATCACAGGGCAGATGTGAATTTCAAGGAAAGCAAGACGTTTTCCCATATTACATTCTGTTATGAGATTGTCGAGAAGGCAAAGTTACAATTGCTATAACAATCAACTAGATGGAAGTTGTTTGACTTTGTTTTCGCAACTTGGTCATATTGGTAGGAAGACTTAGAGGAACACGCCTTGTCCTGAGTCCATTGTATGCATAGTCATTTCTAAAGTCGGACAGTGGACGT